TAAAGGATCTCCTCCCAGATCCTTCCAATGTTTCAATATACATCCCAGAGGTGTTTTTGGTGGGATGCGTTTCTTGCTTGGAAACGTACCCATTTTTTGCACGAGTGACTAGCGAGTGTGATCGGGCACTATCCCAAACGCCAGACAGAAAAAACGCCAGACAGTCGTATATTCAGGGGACTCAAACCCCTATCCTTACCCAGGGGACTCTAACCCCTATCCTTCCCGGGTTAGCCCAACCGTGCGCAGCTTTCACTGCGACTTATCAGCAGGCGTTTTATCTGGGGACTCGAACCCCACAAAGGTACCTCTTTGCCCAACTCTGCGTAGCTTTCGCTTCGTCTTACGAGCAGGCTGGTGGGACTCGAACCCACAACCTTTTACCCCTTAAAAGAATGCCTTCTTACCTGCCCAGGGAACTTGCTCGGAATCCTTCGGTCCGGGGATCAGAGGTTCTCCCCGAGAATCCCTCGGTGCCGGCTGGAGGTCCTGTGATCCCTCGGATCCGTCGAGATTCACAGGCACTGTCCCATCTGGGTCGCCAAAACTGTCACCGAAGCCGGGAAATAACCTCGTAACACCAATGCAGTGTTAAAAGGCAGGCATTCTTTATTGGCAGCGCTGGGGACACGGGGGATCGCTCCACCACAATCGTGTCCGAAATGCGGTGCAAAATACAGATACATTTATACAGTTAAGTTGCGCAATTAGTTGTTCGCTTTAATACACCAGGGGAAGAGAAATCCTTCTTCCCCATCCCGCTCCACGCTTCTCACCACGTCCCCCCTCCCAGCGCAGGAGGTCCATTCAGCACGCGACACCCGCCGCCCTTGAGTTTAGGGTTATGTTTACCAAATTTGCCAAGGGCTGCTGGGAAGCGGGGGGAGGAGGGTAGGTTTTTGTGGCCGACGTTTTTCCAAGAAATCTGGATCTTTAAGTTGGGGGGGGGGGGCGGGAATTTAGCTGAAGGCCTGAGCATTCAGACTTCGGCCTCACCGAGGGGGTTTCTCCAAGGCTGGGGAATGCACCACAGCCTCCGGTTCGCTGGCTGAGGAGCACCAAAACCAGCCCGGGCGGGGGAACGATGCACGGGGCGGAACGAGGGAGGCCGGGGCAGGGAAACCTTCCGCC